ACATGACGCGCCCCGGCCGATTCTGCCGCCTGTCGCGGCGCTTCGTGCCGCAGGACCGCGTTTCAGCGGCGGCGTACGGCTGAGGTTCAGATCGCGTTATGCATTTTTTATAAAAATTTTAATTTTCACTACCTGTACAAGAGGCGGCAGCTACTTTTCAGCCCCAAGCGGCAAAATACGTAAATCCGCGCCTGGGACAAACACGCGAGACGCATGAAAGTTCATGGAGCGTACTTTATTTTTCAAAGCGATTTAGAAAGTGAAAAATGTAAAGCTTTAGTGAAAAAGCTGGAAAATTATGTGTGTTTCAACACTTTTTTTAAGAAGAATTTTAAAGTTTTTATCAAACTCTAAGAACAAACTGTCATCATATTTCCACTCAAAATGTCAGTCCTGAGAAAATCAAGGAATCTGCGTTTAAAAGGCTATTCAGGAAATCGAGGACACTTCAAACGAGAGGAATGCTCAATGAATCGCGACTAAGAATTTTCATAATTACTTCTTAATATGGATCAATGTCTTCGCCGATCGTAATAATAAAAGGAATCTAACAAAAGAAAAAAATGTTTTTCAATAAGGAGCCATTGGGCTTATGTCTTATGTCAGAATAAAATTGCAGTTCTTATATAAAAGCAAATTTGACAGAGTGATGAGAACTAATACGCGAAATTCGCCTTCAAGATCGTCGCAAAATGAAATCCGTTCATCAGGAAGCCTGAAGGAATAATGTTCGACAATAATTTTTCAACGTCAAGCGCGGTTTACGAGCGTCATTCATAAAATCTCGCGTGCAAAGTGCGATCATAAAGATGATCCGTCATTTGTGGTGTGATCACCGTTTATCGAACATTTTTAATTCTTGAAACGATAAATCTTTTGTAAGTAACGAGCTTTTTTCTGACATAAGTTATATTAACAGTTTGACTGTCACTCATGTTTGGACGACGCATAAATTTTGCTAAGATCTCGTCACTTATTTACAGTAATGAGGTTTTATTTAATGATTAAAAATGATTTTACTAGGTATTTAAGACATTAAAGAAAGATATAAATTATATTAAGGCATTAGGGAAACAATAAAGAATAAAAATAATGTACTAGAAATTTATTAAGCTCAATGCCGAAATCAAGGCAGTCAAGTATTGTGTTTATATATATATATATATATATATATATATATATATATATATATGAATCTTTTCAAGTAATATTAATTGGGTATGAAATGAGAAAAGAAAAATATTTGTACTTTCACTCTAGAGAAACATCAACTCTCAGCTGATGTTGATCGATATATAATCCAAGCGGTCACGAATAAGATAACGATCCGGCATAAATTTGTAATTAAACGTTTGGATACAAATTACTCGTTTTAGTAAGATCAGTCGCAGGCGTAGGATGCGATTCCACGAACGTCGATTTACGATTCGGAGAAGAAGACTCGCGTTCAATTTGTATTAATCGCCGCGAATCACTCGACCAACATCTCTAAATCCCCTGATCATTCATTGCAGATACCTTACTGTCTTACCGTCTTAACTTACGAGTGGAATTTCATGAGAGAATCTTCGGAGCGATAAATAAGAGGGATTAAAGCGATTATAGAAAAGGAGGGAAGAAGAAAGCGAGCGAATATGGAAATTGAACGCAAAGCCCTTTTCGTCGCGTCCGGTATATAATTTTCAACTTCGTGGGACCGCCGAAACTTTTCACTCGAGTCGTTCGTGTTCCTTCGCCACTCCATAATGAACTGGGAGACCGCGGGCTCTTAGTTTCCTCGAACTCGAGCTGGCAAATCGCCATTATCGTTCCTTGGCGATGTTACGACTTTAGGAGGCGGAGTTTCAAATGTCCGTCATTTGCGCGCGGAAAGTGTATTGACGTGGAAATTATTTTGCGAGCAAACAAAGACCAGGGCGAGCAAAGGAAATAGCCACAAGCCATTTAATTCACTGCAATGGAATTGCGATAAATTTTATTATCAATATGTTTACACTTTCACTCCCTCTTCTTTAGAAAATAACAGGGTGGCGCGTGTGACGTTCGTGCTAGGCATATAAGCAGCGACAGCAGCCTTCCGTCTCGACTCTCGTTGCCATCTCATTTTCTGCATTGCATGCAGCCCTCGTAACATGCGCGCGCGCGCGCTTCTTTAACCGGAGCAACGTTGAGTGCGGGAACGACGAACAAAGGATGACATTCCGTAAAGAAATTTGTGAAGGGATGAGACACGATGGCCACTGCCGCGTTCTGTCGCAGCAAAATCCAGACACGAAATGCGCCCGCGAAACGATATAAAAGAAATTGACCCAAATACTAAAATTGTATATGAGCGAGAAAGTAAAATTAGAAAAAAGATCACACTGGATGTTTGATAAGTGGCACAATTGGTAATATTCCTTCTCAAATAGAAATGTTCAGCATTTAAATAGCTTTCAAATTGCGATTAATTAAGATAAATACGTTAAAAAATAATAAAACTGTAACTTTTTAATTAACAAAGCTTTATAACAAGTCTTCTTGACAACAAATTGAAAATTTCAATAAAGTTGATTTCAGATGTTACAAAAATCTTAAAATAGAGCTTCCGTAAGATACCTATTAAAATAATTACATATTTATTTTCTTAATATGATTTTACTTCTGATAATGGCGTTATTAATAATATGAGATATGTACATAGTCGATACATGCACATGTTTCGTACATATCGTACCATGTGTGGAAGAGCTGGTAAATCTTATCAATAAATTATATGAGGATAGCGCGCCGTGAAAGCCCTTACATGGATGCAGGGTTGAGGCGTTCGCTTAATAGTGTGTAATATTATTATATTATTATATCTTTTTTCGTGGTGGTTTAATGTAATTTATTAGCTAGAAATTATTAAGACTCTGAAACTAAGCGATAATCAAAGAATGTTTTAATATACTTTAATTTTAATTTAATAATTTGTAGATTAAGATCGCATAAATCTGCACAAATACGAGTTTACGTCGAGACGATAAAACAGTCAAAATAATTAAAGAAAAGGAATTTACATAAAAAATTCTCTTCTCAATTTGTTTCAATTTTAATGACGAGACATTTCGATATTTCTGTTCCAGGCAACCTGATGGTGATTTTTGTGGTGACGTTCTCCCGACGATTGCGCAGCATCACAAATTTCTTCCTGGCCAATCTAGCGGTGGCGGACTTTTGCGTGGGCATATTCTGCGTCTACCAGACGCTCACCAACTACCTGATGAACAGCTGGCAGCTGGGTGACTTCCTCTGCAAGGTGTACATGTTCGTGCACGCGCTCTCGTACACCGCCAGCATCCTGATCCTCGTGGTGGTGTGCACCGAGCGTTACCTGGCGATCGTCCATCCAATCAAATGCCGATCCATGCTGACCAGGCGACGCCTCAGGATGGTGGTAGGTGTTGTGTGGATTTTGGCGGCCGTCTACGCCTCGCCGAGATTTTTCTACGTCGAGACCATCAATAATCAGCTCAACAACGGCGACGTCGACATCATCTGCATAGCCAATATCAAGAAGCACAACAAAAACGTTCTGGACGTGGTGAATCTCGTCCTGCTCTACCTCCTGCCGCTCTTTCTCATGTGCTGCCTCTACACCAGGATCGCCATAGGCCTCTGGAGAAGCAGCGCGACCCTCGGTGGACCCGGCCTGGTCGCCAAGAGTAAAAACGGTAGAGTACACCACGTGCACACGTCCAGCAGAAACGTACTGAAGGCGCGACGCGGAGTTATCAGGTATGTCCATTTCCACGATTTCCAGGACGCGTTACATAATAGCGCCTTCGATTTCCGTTCTCGAAACCCAATATCCGTTGCGTTCGAGGATTACCGCCACGATGAGACGTGGATTAAATGATAATTTCGTTTATTTATTAGCGTGTTGAATGCTTATCGTAATTAACTTTGCGGACGTCAAATATTTTTAAATTATATATAAAATTTATTATACAAAAAATAGACACGAAGTACAGATACAAGCGAAAAGTTTGTTAACAAGTATCAATGCTCGATATATTTCATTGGCTTCATTGAATACGTTGCAATTTAATTGCACAACATGCCCGCTGAACATAAATTACTTAATTTTAAAAAATAATAGAAATCAATATATTTAATTAGTTTAAAAAAAATTGCGATATTATAGTTTCTTTGCCGTCGATATTCCGTATTTAATCTCTTCGAAGTAGTTTCGAAAAAATTTTCGAGAAGGATCGGGTCATCAACGATCGTATCTCCATTAATCCGTTATCCAGTGTCATTCGACTCTAAAAGCATCTCCGAGCCCCTTAATTCATCAGAACGGCGCTCGTGACATCAAACGTCTCGCCGATGTTTTCCAGAATGTTGATCGCGGTGGTGATGATGTTCGCCGTGTGCAACCTGCCTCAGCAGGCGCGCATCCTCTGGCGACACTGGGGCCCGAACTACGATAACACGTCGGACTTCAGCACTCTGCTGACCGTGTCGACCTTCCTCGTCTCGTATATGAACTCCTGCCTAAACCCGCTGCTGTACGCCTTCCTGTCGCGCAACTTTCGCAAGGGTATGCGCGAGTTGCTGCATTGCGGAGGGGCGAGGAACAACGGCGGCGCTCTGGCGATGGTGTGCGCCAGCGTCGACCACAATCGCCACGAGAACGGCGTCAGCGTCCATCTCCCGCAGAGCTCGGTCGTTCGACTGAACTCTGTTGTTCAGGACAGCGCCGTCCTGTCCACCAAGCAGATCATCACTCGACACAACGTTTACGAGAGGAGAACTTAGTGAACGTCCGCCGTCCAGATGCGACGGGAGTAGATCGCGAAGCGATTCTTTACAGGGTATTCCAGGGACGGGAGAAGCTGGCAGAATCCTTCTCAGGGAGGTGCGCGAGCGCCTGCGGGATCTTTTTAGAGGATCTATTTTGACTCGTTATATAGTTTATTTTAACGAGTATGAACGAGAAGCGTTGCGTTGCTGCGCGCCTCGAGACTGTGAATTTGGATTAGCCGAAAACTTTGCAGATAATTAGAATAGGAACGAAGTTTGGAGCATCCTGTATTATAGCCCGGACAAGGCGCACGTTTCGTGAGGGGACGAACTATCTCCTTTTCAACGTTTGAAAAACTCTTCGTATTCGTCGTATAGAGGAGCTGATTTTCAACCTATCCCGAATTTTTCCAGTTTCAAAATGATTTTGAGAATCTTGATTACAGTAAAATAGACTTTTTACAAAATTCAAATCTGATTTACTTTGAAAATCAGCTCTTCGATCCTCGAATCGCAAATCGTGTCGTCTCAAAAGGCGCAGAACTCGCAGCTCAATTTCTTATACGTGACGCTATAATCTTACAATCTCAAGTTATGCTGACCACGAACATTATACAACGCAGGAATTGCCGCGTTTCGGGAACAACATACCTTGTTAGTGATAGTTTTCATTGGACAGAGATAGAGAGAGAGAGAGAGAGAGAGAGAGAGAGAGAGAGAAGACAAGTTTCGGTTGCGGTCAAATGATGTCAGCAGCATGCAACTTTGTCGGGGTGTATGCAGCGCGTGTGTAAGCGACAAAGTTGAGTATGGCGAGCTTAATCGGAGCTTATTCAAAGCATATTACGTACTTCTATTTCCACTTCCATTCTTTGTCCCTAGGCGCATAAACAATACAGACTGAAACTATTGTGGATTTCGTTCATACTCGCTCAGTTAACGCAAAATGGCAAGAAGGAATTATATAAGGCATGGTCGATATCTGTATTTATAGTCACGTTAGAACGTCGCATATTGAATAATTCGAATTTAAATATCATAAGATTTTTGATAAAATATAGATTCTCTCTCATTGACTTTATGGTGTCTCATTTATCACGTGCCAATGTCACGCTGACATAATTCTTTAGCAAAATTGTGCTTTAATTATTTGAAAATGTCTCTCAGTTCTCAAGTGAGAAATCGTAATTGCTATCCGTCGCGAAATTACTTCTCCAGCAAGAAGCTCGCCCGAATTACCCACGCCATTTAACAAATTGGCAACCGTAATTACTGACAAGTTGTCGAAAGTGCGTCGAAAGAAAGGGAGAATCGAATGATACCTCTGTGAATGTATGTTATGTATAAGTTACTGGGGACTTATTACAAAATTATATTAATGTCAAGTAATTATGAAATAAAAAGAAGTGCAACTTTTAAAGTGTAATTTTTTACACTACATTTTTATGAGAGGTTAATTTTTGGGGATTAAATATGAATTAAATGTATACATTTTTTTATGGATTAAATATGGAACACATTAAATACACTAAATGTATTTAATATATTAGAGATTTTGTAATTTATTTATAATTATAGAATAAACTCATCACACCAGATTATGTATTAAAATCTGAATGTATTCAAGATATCATTATCATTGAAACTTTCAAACTTTATTTTGAAAATCAAAATATGCTCAAAACATATAATAGAAAACTTGTGCTTTTATATTTTAAAAGAATTATATTTGTGTTCATTAATTATGTTAATTAATTAAATGAATTGATACTAATTTTAATACATTTTCTAACGGATTAGCACTTTCTAAACGAAAAATAGCACCGCAATAATTAATCGGTAGAAGTACAATTCGTTTGCATTGACAGAAAATTAATTGGTTCGACGCGAAAACAGAAACGCAATCTCAACGGATACCAGATTCCATTGGGAAGGATAATTTATCTGACCGTATTGGATTGGCCAGTTGGCATTGTCGCCTTCGGTTTTTGGCATTTGCCAAATGTTTTCTTTATACCTCATTAAATGCACATTACATAAAATGGAATTAAAACAAACATCCTTAATTTTCGCGTAATATAGAGAGTAATGTAGAGAGGGCTTCATTTAAAAAAGTTTAATTTCAAATTCTTGTAATGATTTACTTCTCATGCAGAAAAATTTTAATTTTAGAGAAATAATATTTTAATTCCTCATTTGTTATCAATTTCAAAGTTGATGGATATTAAATTGTGATTGTCAGTTTCAAGTTTCATGTAAGATTAATAAGACAAAGTCAAAATCTCATCTTAAATACCAATTGTTGAAATAATTACAAAAATAATTACAGTTACATTCTTAATGAGTCTTTAACGAGTTTTATCTGTAATTTTTTTGTATAAGATTTTTGTAATAAGAAAATGTCCGGTGATTCTAAGACATCCTATATATTCTCGGAAAATTCTCGTTTTAACAGAAAATCTTGTGTAGCAAGTCAATTCGTGGAATACCGTGTATCTGCGAAGTACTTCGCAAGTGACAAGAGTCCACAGAACGAAAAGTAAAATACTTTTAGAAATATAAGCACATCGCTTCCGACGTCGCCGTAATTTGCTCGAGAAGAAAAATTTCTCCGACTGAGTATATATATCCTTGTTGTTCACCGAATGTTAAACAAGGATATAACATATGCTATATCATGCGCACCATGCATGAAACGGAACACAGCCTCTAGTCCATTACTCTCAAAGATTACAAGCAAGAATTTGTTTTCAGTATGTAAAACGAAGGAAGATAATTCTTGTACCGATAAATTTGCCTCAAATGCATTTTTATTGGTATAGTTAATCAGACCCAATTCAAAATCCAATAAAAATGTCTCGAATGCATTTTTATCGGTATAAGAATTATCTTCCTCCGTTACACATACTAAAAACAAATTCTTTCATTTTGCGAATAAAAATCCCATATCTCTGGTCACGGATTTGAACACGGATCTTCAACGCAAAGAGCAGGCGCACAACTCTCTGCGCCACGACCGCGGTTCGATAAAATATTAACAATCATTGCTTATATCTATTGTAAATATACAATATATTGGTTAACCTTTAATTGTTATTGTTGCGAACTTGCAACGTAAAATTTAACAGCTAAATATTTTTTTACTAACGTATATTACGTATTTTGCGTAAATTATACCGTGTCTTATAATATATACATCATAAGACACGGTATATATATATATATATATACCCCTATACATATCTTTCCCAACGTGCTCTCAACTCTCTCAAAGGCAAATTTCAAATCTACATTCCGGACGAGCAAGCGTTCTCATTGTCTCCCTGCGTCATTCCTCGCAATTGTCATATTCCACGAATGTGTTGTTAACACGCTTTTGTGATACACTGGATAAAATCCGCCGGAAAATTTTATTATACGTATATTTTCTCCCTATTCACAATAAGCTAAACTTCTGCTCCAAGTAAAATAACAACGATTTAAATAAATGATTCACGTAATTTTCTAGCAGGGTGTTAAAATGGTTGAAACTACTGAATTTTTTTTATCATTTTATTTTCTCTCTTATTCTCTGTTATTTTAATTACAGCTCTTTTTGGTCCATTAAAAAATTTTTTTTTTCTTAAAATGAGTATATCTTAGCTATTTTATTTTATCGCTATTATTTGCAATTCTTAACATTATAGCCTTGTAATAAAGTTTTAAATATTTGACATTATTTTCAGAAAAAGAAGTTTTTTGAAAAAATTATTTCAGATATTGAAATGTAGCTACTACACATGTATAACACTTGCTGTTATTGCACGTCATATTTAAACGTTGCACTAATAGCAAATATAAATCCGGTTTTATTCGGGGTTATACAATCGCGCATTATTTATTTGAACCGCTATTATTTTCTGAAACCAAATGAAATATTAGCTCATTGTAAATAAAAAGGAAACATACAGTGCAAGTATTGGCTAAAAATTATTTCTCGATTATCTGGAAGAAAAAACAACTAATGTTGATATAATATTATATGTTTTATACAATAAATTTTTTGGGAAAAGAATATAATATTATATCTAAATATCTCTTAATAAGAAAACATTTTTTTCTTATTTAAAAAGAGATAGATAATAAATAGTTAGAATTTTATAGAACGACCTATAGAAATACAAAGGACAATTCCTCCGTGAAATATTCTTTCCTTGAAGAATCTTCTTTCTTCTGCAGTGTTAATTGCATTTCAGGATGAATTTATGACGCACGAAGAGATGATTGAAAACAGAAACGCATTAGGTTTAGCTAGAAAATGATAAAAAGACTGCAGTGCATACGTTTCACGCTATTTTCGGCGGAAAGGTCCGATCGTCTCTTGCAGATAACACGGATTTCGCATTAATGTGGAGACGCCACGGGCATTTGGCAGTGATACAAGAAATTTCCGGATCGGCCGGAAAACGACGTTGCGAGAGATTACGGCCGAGATGCAAGGTGGTTTCATAGCTACCTATATTTTCTACTTTAACTGACAGTACGTTTGGCAATTAGGTTGATAAATTTTTGTAAAATATATGAAGAAATTTATGCAACATAGAAAATAAAAACTAAAGATAATAATTTTAACTGGGGAAAATGAATTTATGGATAATAAAATATTAGTTTACATTATTTTAAAAAACTTTAATTTTGACGATTAATTATTAACTAATAATGTTATTAATTATATAATAATTTAATTTTTAATTTTTTAGATTTAATAGCCAAAATTTTTAATGTAAGATGCAAATACATTATAATATGTAGTTTTTATAGAAATCTTTACAAAAACTCAACTTTTTGGACTTATCGAAAGATATCTGCTTAAGGGAAACAACGATTGCGCAATCAGGATCACATGATATATTTTATTTCATATTTTGTATTATTGAAACATTCTCCACAATGTTCGCGTTGTGACGTTGAAATTTACAGATATTACTACAGAATTTATCTCAATTGCAAAGTCATTTTTGCACTAATAACTCATTATTTTAGATCGCGAACATCATTGGTATTCGATCATTTTGAACACGCGTTCTGTCCACTATAAATTTTGCCATTATCGCTGCGAGCTGTTAACCGCAACGCGTCATTAATCATACACTCTTCTACCGTTCCTGTCACGTTATAAACCTTGAAAGTATTTGTAATTTACAAGTTTCTCGCGTAACAATTTATTATATCTCATGAGCAACATCTTTATTTGAAAACATTGTCGTGCCGCACTAGAAAACCCTGCGACATATTTCGAGAAAATCTGTCTCTTTTTCGCTGAAAAAAAAAATTTCTCAAAGTGTAACGAGATTATGAATGTCATTTACTTTCTCTGAAAAAATAGAATATTTTTGGAAATGACTTTAAAAAAGATTTTTCTTCGATATTTATGATATACTTATTTTTATACAAGGTCAAACAAATATCCGAAGAAGAAGGTATTATACGGAAAATGTAATAGAATCATTATCTTGATTTGTAGTCGCTTATTTCTAAAATTAAAAGTTTAAATTGAAGGATTGGAGGCTAATCACAAAATTACTCGATATCGAAAATGAAAGGATTAACTATGCATTAAACTTTGTAGGTGCTTATAACTAATAAAGTTTAATTTTTTAGATACGTGCCTGTGTCATTAATATGATAATACTCTTAATTTTCCAGTCTAATGATTAAACTGGAAAATTGCGAAAATTGATAAGGGAATAATAACATTGTATCTTACTTTCGAAAAAAAGCGTAATTATACATATATGTAGGGTGATATTAAATCATTAACAACTTTGCAAGCGTATATTGTATTTCAAAAATTAGTATTGGAATGTGTGCTTGGGACAATTTTAAAAATTTACATTCTCTCTTTTACAATTTTAAATAATATTATTAAATATATTTACTTATTAAATTTTAGTATTAGAATGTTTACTTCGTGATATTATAAAGTTAAGCGTGCTGTTTTTAATACTTGTGTGTATAGTATATTTGAATCGACTTCTTGCTGGCTCCTTCAAGCGACGTCTGAAAAGCATTCGTAGAAAATATGTCCAGACCAGAGTTTAAGTGTATATGTTGCTCCGCGTATGACAGAAATACGTTTGTCTATTCGAAGAGTAAGTCAGTCTGACTTTGTGAGTCTTGCGAACGACAAAAGTCGGAAGAGGCGTGACGGCAGATTTTCTCTGTCGCGGTGTACGCATGAGAGTCGCTCGGAGGAGAATTGTGAGAGATAAAGCGGAAGAAAACTTCGTGTCCGTTTTTCTGATAGCGCGATTTCGCGTTCCGGCTTCAGACCCGCGCGCGTCTCTCCTCCTCTCATTCCTCGCCGTCCCTTTCTCAAAGGCATCGATCCGGATAAAGTACAATTGCGAAAAGACATACGTCGGCGAGCGACAAGGCACTTTGTGACGTTGAAGAGAACACAGAAGAGCCTCCCGAGTTGTCGTCTCTCGAACGATATCGATCGATCACCTGGTGCTCGGAAAAGTATCCGCCGACCACTGATCTTGATAAATTGAGATCATAAAGTCTCGTCTCAAAGAAAAATTTCGTCGTTAATTGAAATTTTGCTAGACACTTAACGAAACGTCGTTAAATCGAAACAAAATTATTTTGCAAACTTA